GGTGATATCGACCCATGTATCTCACACCTAAATGTATATGCAATTCGCTCATGATTTTTGTTGATATGATACTAAATACTATCAATGTAATCATTAATAATATTACAGACCTTCAATTATCGACTAATTCACTGTAAAAAAAGTTATATTCAGTCTAAAAAATAATGCAGCTATTTAAGTAGCCAAGATCAAGTACTGGTTAAATTGAATGTATAGTTCGAATTAAATAAGTGGTACATTGAAAAGCTATATCCAACTTGGAACAATTTTAACATATCAACTCTGATATCTAAAGTGCTATTAACAGGCTTAAAGGGAAATAAGGGGGAAAGCAGCACCGTAGCCAAGAGGCTAATTAGTCATACATCTATGGATTGCTGACCGTTTGGGTTCAAACAGTTAAGCCGTTGTTTCTTTGAGCAACACTTGTTGCTTAGTCCTGGTTGGTTCCAGGAACGGATTTGAGTATGTATCTACAACCTTTTGCCTTCCTAAACAACCAGAATAAAGTAAATCATGTACAAATCTAAGGGAAATGAATGGGAAAGAGTTGATGCCACATTTTTTGTGCAATTACCCAAGATCACATGCTTGATATTGACCAAGTGTTTTGTATGGAGCCATTTTACAATCATATATTTAAGATGTATTCTTAAATGTTAACTATTTTCAAAGTGAAACAAAATAGCAAAATAAATGCACATTCATTTAACTTGCCAAGAACATTTACTGTGCAATATCAATTAAGTGATTGTGAACACTTTTGATTTACTCCATTAATTTAAGACTTCTAAAGTTAATGATCTACACACACATTTTTATAATTTAATTGACCTAATATTTGATATCTGATGCCTGAAACAATGCCGCCCATTTATGTAAGTTATTTTCAAATTCCTTATTGCATGCATAAGTGTTGTTCTAAACAATATCTGGACATTGTATTATCTCTGGTGACCTTGATTTTCATATATTGACCTCTTTTATACTGGTAACACTCAATTTAACGATCTTGAACATTTGTGATAAAAACTCTAAATTGTCTGTCACCATATCTTTTCATCTGACACATGACCGTTACGTTTGACCTTGTCCTATGCTATTTTGAGCATCATATCCTAGTTTACGCTTTTGAGCATTTTTGGCACGTTATATCACCATGCCTCAAAACATTCAGAAAAAGTTTTACACTATGACCACTAAATGTGACACTGACCATTGCCATCTTTGTACACAACACTGGGACATTGGATTTATAATGGTGAATGTTGGAATCAACAATTTCCTAAATCCTTTTAAAAGTGTATACGATATGCGTCCTACAAATCCAAAAAAATTATAATAGTAACCATAACCTTTCATGTCATGAACTGGTTTAAACTGGTATCTCTCGGATTCATGATTGATTACATTTGTGAAACAATTTCTCAATTCCAAATGTAAACTTATTTTGACTTACCCATTAACTCTTGAATAGCATAATGACAAAGTAAATTCCTAGTAAGTTGCATACAGCTTTATTTGTATTTCTTATCAATTTATTGATCAGACAAGGATTCTACACAAAGTGACACGGCGATCTTGATGTTTGACCTTATACCATCTAGTGACCTTGAGCAAGGTCCCTATATATTAACAATTAAAAATTGATCCGATAAGTATAACATAAAGAACTTATCTATGGAAGGAATAGCCCTTCACAGTAGCCTATGCCCCCCTTTTAGGTGGGTCCATGAAAATAATAATTGAAAGTAGATATTCATGGTAAACTGTATGTCATATCAGAGTAGACAACTAGTTACATGGAGAATAGTTTATCATAGATAACCTCATTTATCGCGCAAACAAATTTTAAACTCTTTGCTAAACAGTGATACTTACAGATACACATGTTCATATTTGAAAATATTGGTACTTGCTACACAGTATTTTGTAAAAATAAAATAAACACATGATGACATCATACAAAGTTTGAAATTCTACAAACCGTAAGTCGACACAATATGAATAATTATGTCATTTCTATAAAAAAAACTAGCAGTTCTTTTCATTTTACAGAAGAACACAGATTCCGATACATAGTTTGTACATTCTTTTATTTAAATACATGCAAGTCATATTCAATACGAAATCCATAGATTTCAATAAATGTTTGCAATAAAAAAATGTTTAACTCAAAGATGAGCATAGAATATCTTTAATGAAGTTCCTTTCCTTTCTAGTACATGCATAAATCAATTATTTATTTTACTGAAGCAAGATTTAATGATTTAATTCAATTGTATCAATTCTAAAAAACGATGAATTTAAATGATTTTTTTTTAAAAAATGAACTACAGTTATGGATTCCATAATAATTTGAAATAATTAATGTTTTAATTTGAGTACCTCCATTGTTAAAGTAACTTCCTCTTTCTGTTTCAAACTTTTTTTCAATTATCGGTACATCATAGAAATAACATGTCTAAATGATAAGCGTAAGTACACATATCAATCGCACCTTTTCGGCCATTTCCGTCAACCTTCAGATAAAGACCTCAACACAATAATATCAAACCTATGCTAAAACAAATTAAACATTTAGAACAAATACAGTGCAGTTATTTACTACAGTGATAATTTTAATATATGGAGTAAAAATCTATATAAACAAAGGAAATTTATATATATAAATGTAAACAGTACATTATACTTATTACTATGGTTGTAGAAACCAAATAAGGTACAAAATGTCTACCTGCTGGCATTTATTAGGATTTGTTTAAAATTGTATATCATTGGGCACTTTCAAATTGATTATGATTGTTAGACATATTTTAATATTATATGTGTTATATAATATCAGTTCATATTTTATTCATCCAGGACATGTAATATGCAACTGTTTTTTAGTAGTTATATTTACCACCAATAACTAGATTACGATCAATGACCAAATGTCTGTCTTTCTCAATGGGTAATAGGTGAATTTACACATTGCCCATGTCAGATTGAAGTTCAACACAATGAGTATTTTATATGTAGGAAACATTAGGCACTTAGAAGATGAATCTATAATATTATGTCAATCTTGTAAAATTGATCATGCAGTCTATATTATAAGTCTCACAATACTTTGAAAGTGAATAATATCATCTACTTACTACAGATGTAAATACTCTGACAAACCATGATCATTAGATGTGTCTTATACAAACATTTAGAGTTTCAAAAAAATTCTTGAGGCAGAGAAAGAATGCATTGTTTTAAACAAAAGTTTATATTGCTTACTATTGTTAGCATTATTAATTTTGCTCCAGAAACACACAACTCTAGCTTTGACTTGCAAAGCCATTCAATGACATGTAGAAGATTTTAATTAATAAAACAACTTTCAGAAATATAATTGAAAATTCTCAAAAATCTAAATTTGTTCAAATCACTTCGATATAGAAAGATAAGTACATCCATAGACTTAAATAAATGCAATTGTAAAGATAATGGTAAACATAATTTACGAATCTCTTGGATCACAGAAAACATTGCTCTTCTAGCATGATCAACAATTACATTTTGCTTTCAAAACAAATCGTACACCATGTTTAGCACACATTTAAACCACATTTTCTTCATATAAATTGCATGATTTTGGCATACCAGAACCTACACTGGAAATAATACCTACATTAAGACTACATGGAAATGCGATAGACCTTTTAACAGTACGATTTTCCGAAGCAACGGATGTTGCATTTCGCGCATGCGCATTCTGCGTATGGCAAAAAGGCAAAAACAAAAACTACATTTTAGCATACTTCAAGCCTTTAAAAGACAAGTTATTTCAACTAGAAAAGAGATTTGTTTTTGATAAATTAAAGCGGTACGTACTTAAAACGCAAATATACTATAATTATAAATGCAATATTCACTACTTAAAACCTTAATAACAATGTTTGATGTGTGCAAGAGACCACAGTCTTAGTGTAGATAAAATATTTATCTTAAAACATATATTCCAGTATAATATAAAGTACACACTTTTGTGAATATTTTACTCCCACTGTTATTCCATACAGAATGGCTTCTCGCTTATGTGTTCACCAGACACATATTTCTTGATGCTTTGCATTTTAATGACTAATGTGAAAGACTAAAGTGACTAATACTACCATTTGTATAAGTAGAGAAAACAAGAAATATTCATGTAGCAGCAGTCCATGTAAATGCTTATTTTTATGAATATTTTGAAGAATGAGAATATTAAATAGTAAATTATTGCTAAGCGCGCAAAGAAAATAATTAACACATTGCAGATGACACTTTCAATCCGCGTAAGTTATCAAACAAAACGCCAAAATATTCTAAAATGCTCTTACTGCATTAGTCCCGCATTATAAAAAATGGTGATAAATACGTCCAATAATATATGTTATTGTCTTTAATTTTCCGGACACATTCTTTCGTATATCAAACCAGCAACATTTGAAAAAATCAACACATTTCTTTATCTATTCTATATAAATATTACATATACAACAAGCAAGTGTCAAGTGCTTTGTGGCAGCTGTAAAAAGTTGTTGTTATACTTGTCTGGTCCGTTGGAATCATATCTTCAAGCACGTTGGTCTTGGAGTTTTAATACCGCTTTGGCCTGAGCGATATTGTGCGTTTACATTATCTCTCATGGATAGACTAAATCAAAACGAGTCTGCAATTTTTATGTTACATCGTAACATCTAAATACATGTATTATCTTTATCAGTAAACCTTTCTTTTGCAGATAATCTTTTAGATGAGATAATACTGGAAAAATTATATTGATATTTTTATCTTATCACAGCAATATATTTTAAGTCTGTATATATTCATTAATCAATTCAAAACGTTACCTTACATACCATGGTCTGCATATTTAATACATTGAAATTAAAATATTCTCGAGTTCAAGTTAATTAATTTAATTAGCATAAGGATTTTTTTTATCAACGTTCACGAATCATTTTACTGTGGAAATTGCCTACCTTCTACATTCAGTTCGATCTGCAATAAAAGTAATAAAGTGTTTATTGACTTTTTTTTTTTAAATGCGTTTATTTAAGGTCGCCGCCGGAAAGCCCATATGGGCGACCGTACACTCAAGTCGGGCCATCTTAGAGCGTCCCGCCGAGATTTTTTCGTCGATTTGTTTCCAGCTTTATTGGTGGAGGAAGACCCTAGGTGCCCCTCCGGGCATTATTTCAGGCACGAGCGGGCACCTCGGTAGAACAACCGACCTTCCGTAAGCCAGCTGGATGGCTTCCCCACATGAAAGATTTCGACCCGAGTGAGGATCGAACCTACAGCGGTGAGGGACCTGTGATTTCAAGTCAGCGACCTTAACCACTCGGCCACGGAGGCCCCAATATGTTGTGTTTATTGACACTTTCGATCCGATTTTTTATGGAGCTTATGGTATAAAGTTGTATCTCATCAATCATTTTAAAGATCCTGTAACTCATTTTTATGGTTTAATATAATAAATATAATGCTCAAATGAAGATTTATCAATATTGTAAGTTCCATTAAGCATTGTTTGTAAAGATATTACCAAATTTACATTTCATGTAAATAAAGGGAGGCAATAAGAAATTTATTTTCGATACAGTCTTAGACAAAATTTTCAATAAAAAATGAATGCATATATTTTCATGAATACTTATAATTGAATTACATTTGCAGTACATATTCCAGGATGTTTAGAAATTGTTTTAGAAGAATAGTTATATACATAGATAAAATTTCACTTAAGTGTTGTTACATCCTTAATTACAACATACAGCATATTTAATAAATTTTTAACAGTACAATTGTGTTGTTTCCATAATGTTATGGTTGATTCTCAAAAGAGTTATAACATATAATGTCTCTTTTATTCAGTACACATGAATATTGTATGTAAACAGAATCAATGTCCTGGAACAAAAAATATGATTTTCTTGATTTTCTTGATTTTCTTGAAACATTAATGCTTATCTGGAGGCATGCAACTCTAATCACCTATTGCTACCTTGACACAAGTTTTAGAGTACTAAAAGGGAGACTTGTAACAAATCACTGCAATATAAACTAGCTACTACTGAAGGACCATGTTAGAAATAATTTTAAAATATCGAAGTTTTAGACGTATTGTAAGTAAAAGATTAAAGTCACCTGTGGTTTTCGAAACTCGGGTGGTAACATGGGTGTATTTGTGGAATGCATCTTATTTATCCCCGCTGATTCTTCTTTTCCTGAAAATATTTCTGACAAAAAAGCTTTTTCTTAAAAACATGAGAATAAAGGTCAACAAGGAGGAGCAACTTTCACAGAACGCAGCCATCATAATGTTCTGAAGCAACGGCACGCTAAAATGGTGTCAAACTGGTACAGACACAATAAAGGAAAGGCAGCCGAGCAGTGAGGGAGGAGAAGGGCTGTTGGCAAATCAGACTGTAACTAACCAAATTTCGCATGTAAATGTGGAGAGTAATATGTTTCCATAATTCCAAATAACAACTGATCCCTCTCCTCCCCCAATAAAACCATTGGACATTAATAAAAGTAAAAACAAAATAATGACCGTCTCGCGCTTAAATGGTAAAAACTTGTACACACTAAAAAATCATAAGTCTTGCTTTAACGGCCCTTTACTCATCTAAAATTGATTATTAAACAATATTGGTAATTTTAAATAAATTAGAAATTTCGGTGATCCGTCAATTTGTTTATTGAAAATTTTAACTGAAAAGTATAGATAAAATAATCTTTATTTGAATGTATTTTGCGTTGTTGTTTATCTACTAGTATTTACTAACCTGTATTTTTATTCGGTATTCTAGAGTGCGGCTGTCGTCCAAAGCTTGTAAATTTCTCCTTCTTCTTCCTATTGTCTCTTCTTGACATCTTTTTCAACTCCTATAAATGACAAAAATAGCAAACATATTATCATTATGTTGTTATATTACGAAAAAAAACCACCAAAAACAAACAAACAAACGCAACGGCCGCTGTGGTGTAGTGGTTAGCATACTTGACTAGCAATCCAGAGACCCATGGTTCTAGTCCCGGCTGCAGTGTGCTGAATATTTCGTGTGATGTTTCTTTGTATAATTTCCCGCTCATGGTGTTTATGATGTATGTTAGATGTAATACATGTAGAAGTTTTTTACAGTACTTTATATTGTATTGATGATTTGCTGGTACATGTATTGTGAAATCAGTGGTACAATCTTGTTTGTGCATTGTACTGCTTGAAACAATACTTTGGCGGTAAAATATCTCAGGACTAATAGGACAAATTCATGAGATTTAAAATGATTTCTTAAACATGTAGCAAAGAATTATGAAATGCCAGATTACCTGTAACAATTCCTCGGAAAGTAGTCTATAATCTTCATCGTTCTTCTTTATCTACAGAAGAATTGCTAACGCATTAATTCAGTCAAATACAACCTATAACTTTTAGACTACCAACACAAGTAACAATTAGCATGCATATACCACAAGTTTCTATTTCATATATGTTTTAAATCAACGCACCAGCCAGTAAACAATTTTAAAGAACCAGTTTCAATCAGACATTAAAATGTGTTGTCACTTTTGTACCGCACCAAAAAACAACAAAAAAAAAAAATAATAAAAAACAAAAAAAAACAACAAAAAAAACACTTGTCAATTTAAGTCAATTGTGAACAAAATGTTGTAATTTTATTATTTTAACTTCATTTTTATATTGTGATGTTATTGATTATCAAAAATATAAAATGAAAGTGACGTATGACCAATGGCTGTTGTATATTGGCGGTCCCTTATTTATGGACAGCTAATGTCACCCTTTTATATAAATACATTACATATGTACTTTTCCTTAGGTTACTGGGATTAATTACAACGGAGGAGTTTCAAAAAGTAAGATGGCATCCTCTTACAATAGATGATGACCTACAAAGTATCACCAAGCTGACTTAAGTTCATGTTTCAATTACTTTCACACACCACCGGTGCATGCACGTCGCCGAGAAAGCACGTGGCATCGGCAGAAGATTTGAAACTCTCTGGTTGGCGATAAACAAAGACAAGAACTTGTACCTATGGACCAGCTGCCATAGTCCGGGAAGTGGAGGGACGTCGAGGAAAGTACGTTACGGTACAGAAAGTGACAGCTGTATTCTAAATGGAGGCATGGGCCTTTTGTTTATGCTAAGTTTTTTTTTGCAAGTCTGACAAATCCCATAGTGATTTCTTGTGTCTAGTTAATAACTGACTTCAATAGTTTCCTGTTTATTTATTTCTGGGTTTTTTTTCAGTGCATTTCCTTCAAAGTTCGACCAATCATGTTCACAGTGTATTAGTTTTCGAATTTTTTAATTATGTCACGGGACATCATCTAAAAGATCCTGTATGTTGCATTAAAATATGTTACCACACTTAAGTAAAACTTTATATGTGAATGCAATTGTTCATCTAAAACAATTTTCAAACATCCAAGAAAATGTAAAATATGAATTGCAAATGTTTATGCGTATTTAATGTAATCATTAAAATACATGCATTCATTTCTTACTTAGACTTTATAGAAAATGAATTTCTAATTACCTCCCTTTATTTACATGAAATGTAAATTCGGTAATATATTTACAAATAATGCTTTTTGGATTTTTTATTTATGATATAAAACTATTAAAAATGGAGTGACAGGATCTTTAACAACAAGAACGATCAGTGATCACATGTGTCGCCACCTGATAGCCATAACGCGGCAAAAAATCATTCAACCTAAAAACCTGTGTAAAATGTACAAGAATTTGAGCTATCGATCAATTCTGTAAAATTGCATTAGTGGTATAACAGGAGTAGTCCGGACACATTTCAAAATTAAAGTCATGAAAGGGCAAAAGCTCTGACAAAAATCAATGAACCGAAAGATGTTAATGAGATAGATAACTAGACATTATATTTATCATTCACAATAAGTTTTAATCAAACTGCACCAATTGTTTCTGGGAAGTAGTCCAGACAAACTTCTTTGTAGCTGACAACACAAAAAACACCTTTTTTCAGGGGCAATAACTCAGCTAAAAATCATTCAAGCAAAAAACTTGTTTATTATGCACAAGTGCTTCACATACCAATCAATCATGTAAAGTTTCATTGAAATTGCATAAAATGCGTTCCAGAATAAAAAAGGAAATTCCAGATGTCCTTTTTCCGGGGGTCGACCTCAAGGCGCTTTTTCAGCAACAATTTTACATGCACAGAGAGAGCTGACATAGGCGAACAATTCCCCTATCTTTTAAACTTCAGACGAACGCATTGTACCTGTTCGTTCTGCGGATATATGATATACAACTATCATTTTAAATGGGTTTATTTTCTAAGTGGTTGTTCGGAGACATACATCTTACTTTTAAATGGGTTAATGTAACAGTAATTTACGCAGATTTACAAAAAAACCCTTTTAAT